TTTGACAAATTTGAAAGGGAAAGAGCACCCCCAAAGTCATTCCTAGAAGCAGCATTAGCCTGATTCCAAAGCCAGAAAAGGAATCCCCCAAAAAAGAGAACTACAAGTCAAACTGTTTAATAAACACAGACGCAATAATCCAAAAAAAAAAAAAAATGGCAAACACAATGCAACACAGTTTCAAAAAGATCCTACACCATGACCAAATGGGATTCATCCCAGGTACTGGGGACGGTTCAACATATGTAAATTAGGAAATGCAATATGTCACAAAAACAAGCGCAATGACAAAAATCACATGTTCATCTCAAAAGATACAGAAAAAAGCCAGGAATGTTGAAGTACACTTGTAACCCCAAGTCTCGGGAGGCTGAGGTGGGAGGATTATTATCAGTTTGAGGCCAGCTGATACACGCAGCGAGTTCAAGGCCAGCCTGAACTACATAGCAAGATCCTGTCTAGGAAAAAAAGAAGAAGCAGAGGGATTCATCTCAGAGAGGCGGGGAAGGTCCAATATATGTAAATAAATAAATGTAATACACCATATTAACAAGGACAAAAATCATATGATCATCTCAATAGATGCAGAAAAACTTTTCATAAAGTCCAGCACCCATTCATGATAAAAAATACCTACAGAAAACTGGAACAGATGGTCTTTATCTCAATCTGATAAAAGCTATCTATGTCAAACCAACATCTCTGTAAATGGATAAAAATTGAAAACTTTCTCTCTAAATCAGGAACAAGACCACGATGCTCATGATCTCCCCTCTTATTTATAGCAGCATTTGTACTAGCCAAGTCTTGGAAACAACCTAAATGCCCATCAACTGACTTTTATGAATGGTACTTTTATACAGCTGACAAAAGATGTGGCACTTTTATACAATAGAGTACCACTCAGCTATAAAGAAGGCTCACATTGAGGCTTTTATAGGTAAATGGATGTGACTTGAGACCATACTCCCAAGTGAAATAAATCAAACTCATATGTGTAAATACCGTATTGTCTCCTTAGCATAAGAAATGGTAAGAGTAAACAATATACAAAATCCTCAATGAATACCATGAAAGGGTAGGAATCTGCTCAAAGGAGAAAAAAATAACTCAGGGAAAAGGAGGGGAAAAAAAGAAGGGAAAAGAAAAAATACACAAATTTGTATAAACACACTCAAGAGAGCCAAGTTGATTCTGCTACTCATTCCATTAGTTCTTGGAACAAAACAGTAATATTCATAGGACTGGATCAGTTTTGCATGAGTGTCTGATAGTCTGAGGAACGCTTTTGAAGATTACCATGTAAAATAACATCTTAGTTATGTTCCTGCCACCTTGTTTTGAAAGACCATATTGTCATTGTTTGAGGCTCTTTGTTATTGTTATTTATTTGTCTTTTTAGTTTCTTGTTCTTCTAGTAATTTCTTTTGTTTTGTTTTGTTTTATCCTCTAATGCAGAAAGGATATATGTATATGTAGAGGCTTACCCATGCCTGGAGCATCTCCCAAACAGTTTAAGAGAATTGATTGTATTATGCGTGATGATATGAATAGCTACTTTGAAGAAAAAGAGACATTATGGTAGCCATTGTTGATTTCCTATTATTATGCTGTGAAATCCAGTAATGTTTTTATTCTTTGTTCAGAGTTGTTTAGTCTGTTTTGTATTATTTATTTTCAATATATATATGAAGGAATGGAAAGCTATTTTAAAGAGGACAAGATACATTATGGTAGCCATTGTCGATTTTCCTATTGCCTGGTTTTGAAGGCCTGTAATGCTTTCATTCTTTTGTTTTGATCAGTTTTATACTATTTTGTTTTGTTTGAATTCATTGTGTGTAAAGATATAGACAACTATTTCAAAGAAATCAAGACACACATTATGGTAGCCACTGTTGATCTCCTGTTGTCTTGCTTTGAAATACTGTGTCACTTGCATTGTTTTCTTCTGATATGCTTTGTTCTGTTTTGTTATGTTTTGTTTTACCCTCTTTAATATAAAATCAAACCTTCCAGATTTAAAGACTCAATCCAAAAATGGGCATCTGAGATTAATAGACACTTCTCAGATAGAGAAATATAAACAGCAAATAAATATATGAAAAAATGTTCAACATCACTGGTCATTTGAGAAATGCAAATTAAAATAACACTGGAAAGAATGACTATTATCAAGAAATCAACAAGTAACAAATACTAAAGGGGCTGTTGGGAAAAAGGAACCCTATTGCTGGGAGTGTAGACTGTTGCAACCAGTCTGGAAATCAGTGTGGAGATTCCTCAAAAAACTAGGATTGGAGGTCCCATTTGACCTAGCTATTCCTCTTCTGTTATCTTCCCAAAATTAAAAACATCATAATATAGCAATACACGTGCACCTATGATTATAGCAGCAGAATTTGTAATAGCTAGATCATGGAAACCACCTAAATGCACATTGATACCACAATGCACAATGGATAAAAAAAGATGTGGTATTTTTATACAATGGAGTACTACTCAGCCATAAATAATGATAAACTTGAGATTTTATAGCTAAATGGATACAACTAGAGACCATACTCATAAGTGAAATAAATCAGACTTGCATGTGTAAACATCATATTGTCTCCCTAGCATGAGAAGATGAAAGCAATTATATATATAACACATACATAATATATATATATTATATATGATAGTTAAGATAGTTATACTACTCATTTCTCTTAGTCCACTAAAAAGAAAGGTTGTGCTAATATTTTTTGGATATTAAATACAGATATATTGTACTCTGAGTAATTGAAAGCTAACAATACAGAATGTATTAACCATTGTTTCCTCTAATTATCTTGTTTTGAAATGTTGGGGTTTTCTCTTTAAAATTAAAAAACTTTAAAAATGAAGATACGGCCTTTTAAAAAAATTAAACATCCATCAGGCTAAAAATTCTGAAGAAAAATAAGAAAGGAAGGACCTTATCTCAATCTGATAAAAATTATTTATGATCAACTACCCAATTTCATATTAATTGGGGGAAAACAAAGCTTTTCCTCTAAAATCAGGAACAAGATAAGAATGTGCATTATTACTCAACACAGTATTCAACCCCTTAACCAGAGTAATCAGGAAAGAAAGAAAAGGTATATGAATAGGAAAGAAAGAAGTCAAACTAGCCTTGCTTGCAGGCTACATCATCCTTTATATAAAAGACCAAAAAAATTCCATCAAAGACTCGTAGAACTAATAAAGATCCAGTTTTTAAAAATGGGCAACCAAAATGAATAGACATTTCTCAGAAGTACAAATGACTAATAAATGCATGAAATACTGTTCAACATCTTGGCCATTAGACAAATGTAAAAGAAAACAATTTTATACCATCTTACTGGGCCAAGGATATAGCTTAGCAACACAGCACCTGCCTGGCAACAGTAAGGTCCTGAGTTCAATTCCTTGCACCAAAAGTTTTTTTTAACAAGATATCATCTTACTCCAGAATGAATGGCTATAAAAGAAATCAAATAATAACAAATGCCAGCAAAAAGATACCCTTCCACATTGTTGGTGGGAATGTAAACTAGTATAGCCACAATGAAAATTAGTATGGAAATTCCTCAAAAAACTAAAACTAAAAATTCCATTCAGCCCAGCTATATCACATCTAAGTATCTTACTATAACAGTTAAAGACTTTCTATTACAGTGATATGTGCATACCCATGTATATGGCTGCACAAATCATAATAGCTGAACTGAAAACACCCTATGTCCATCAACAGATGGATATATTTTTAAATGATTTATATACAGTGGAATACTACTCTGCTATGAAGACAAATTTGAGTCATGTATAGAAAAATGGATGCACCCTGAAATCATAATGTTCCGTGAAATAAATCAATATCAATATGCATTAAATAACTCATGGCTTTTCTTGTATGGGGAACTCAAATTATAAATCACATGGTTTCTCTCACATGAGAAACCCAATGTCCAAACTAAAGAGAAAAATAGATATTAGGAAACAGGGATAAGGATCTTTTGTAAATGGGAAGAGAACCAAGAGATGAAAGGGAGGGGGTAGAGGGGGAGAAAGAAAAGTAAAAATACATGGTATGTACATGAACCAACTCCCCATAATGAATGTAATCATTAAGTAATGCAAACACGTAGTAATAAAATCATGGAAGAAAAAAACGACACTCAGATCAAAAGTACTAAAACGCTAACTGTACCATCTAAATGGAGGTGGAGGTTCTTGCTTTGACAGCACATAAACTAAATGGAGCTAGAAAAGCCAGACTCGGCTCTGCTACTTTCTGACTCCTGGGCAAGTTGCTACCGTTTTTACATAATGTTTGATTATTTGTAAATTTGACTAAAAGCAGATATACTGTACCAAAGAATTTAGTTTCCATCAACTTACATAAACTCTTACTTCAGCTGATCCTGGAATAATTATTACTTAGTATAACCCTGAGATAAACGAGCAGCTGCTTATATCCAACGAGGCTACCCTTGCTTTGCTCTTCAAACTCTGCGAGGATATTGCAGCCATTCACAACTGAGGGAACAGAAGCGCAAGGATATCATGCCAAACACATCGCACTATTTGGAGTCGAAAAAGAGGACACTTGGGAGACAGGGCCTACACAGCAAGCGGGCTTATATAAACCAACATCTTGCTATGGCATTCCAACCCAAGAATGAACTCTCATTGGTTCCAGCCTATCTCTAGGGGTACCAGGAGAACAGCCAAGAAAAGCCGAGAATTCCAAATCGGGAGCCAATCCTGAGAGAGGAAGTTGCTCTGCCCTCTATTGGACCATAAAAGTATTGTCTAACAGGCACCTACCAACCACAGATGCTACTATTGGTGCATTTCTAACACGCAGCCCGCCGAGGGGCGGAGCCTAGGCTGACATTTTGCGATTTGGTTTCCCAGCACCACTTGCACCAGAATAGGCCGTCAGTCCGCTTGGCATCCTGAACCCGCGAAGAAGACGACAGGTTCTACGGGGTGAAGCTACGCCAGTGGCAAAAGGTACTTACTCAGCACATAGCAAGCATCAAGAGGCCCAGCTCGCCTCAGTTTTCACCCTCTGCTGGGCACTAACCTGTCACCACGCACCGGACAGGACAGCACAGCGCACGCCTGAGGCCAGTCGCCAGCGCGCCCTCTCACCACCGTCGACATGATGGGCATTCGACCCCACAGCCCCGGGCCCCAGCCTGCTCCCTGGTCCCGACTTCAGCCCGAGGGACCCAGCCCTGCCAAACGACGCCGCCTGGAGGGCCAGGGCCTCGCTGACCCGGAGACCGGCGCTGAGTCCGGCCTGGAAGACGCCGCGGATCCGCCCGCCGCGCCTGCGCTCACCTCTATGGTGATCCTGTCAGAGAATTGCGCCCTGCAGCTGCCTCTGGACGGCTTCAGCCTGGTGGTCGAGGCCATGCCCGACTCGGTCCTGCAAGTGACTCTGCAAGACCACACTGTCATTCTGGTCCACCAGGACCTCCTGGGATCCATCGACCAGAGCTCCGAAGGGCAAAGTGGCTCTCCTGACGGCCTGGACGGAGGCGCCTTGCTAGGCAGTCCTCTGGAGAACGACGTCGTCGTGGCGGTCGTGGAGCAGCAGGAAATCTGTGCTTCTGTCCCGGAGATCGCTGGCCAAGAAGAGGTCTTAGAATGCGACGAGGTCGCCGAGTTTCTGGCACCCTACATGGACCCTCCAGCTGGCTTCAGTACTGGGCTCCTGTTCCGGTCTGCAGCAGTCCAGAGCCCTGATCCGCAGGGCTCCATCCTACAATCCGCGACTCTGGTGCACATCAGTCCTTTCGAAAGCGGCTCTCCTGGCCTCATCTTCGACCAGGACTTCCATCTGGTGAGGCCCTACCCCACCTCACCGCTCCAGCCTCTGCCTCCCTTTCCCAGTCCTGGTCCTCATGAGCGCCCAGTGCGCCCTCCAGGTCCGCACCGCAAAGCCCGGAGACGCCTGTTCCAGGTATGAATGGCCGCCTGCAATCGCCTGTGACCCAAGCGAAGGTCTTCGCATAGCTGTTTTTCGTGAACTAACCAAGCTACAAGGATACATAATGGACAGTTTTTAATGTAGGCGACATTGGGATTCTAAATCAGTGGGTGGCTGTTTTAGAAAGTCTGAAGACTTGCTGGGTGGTCATAAAAAAGACTGGGGTGGCTTTTGGACATACTGCCAACTTGCAGACCTACAGACTGCTACTCGTTCCCTTTTCCCTATAGAAGCCCCCCTTTAAGAAGTTCGATTTCCCCTAAGGTTTTTGTTTAGTTTGAGGGGGGTGTTTTTGTCGTGTTGCTTTTTGAAAGGGTCTTACTGTGTGGTTCAGCCGCCCTTCAACTCACTGTGGCGCCCAGGCTGGCTTGGAACTCTCGATAATCCTGTCTCAGCCTCCTGCTAGAATTACAGGAGTGTGCCACTACACCCAGTTTTCCCACCGCTCCACCCCCGCCCCCAGTTTTGATTCAGACCTCTGCTCCAGCACTTTTCTCTTAAAACCCACCCTTCCTCCAACATCCTATCCATGGACCTGGTTTTGTCCCAAAGTAGTTACTAAGTATGCTTTGTTTAAGAGCACTTAGGCTCTTGTCTCTGCTAATATGTGACTATCTTCTCACCATGGACTTGACTTTATATTCAGGAAGATTTGACCCTCTTTAGGATATCTCACAAATAGCTGTTCTATACCAATGTCTGTTACAGAACTGGGAAGAATGATCAAACACCTTTTTTTTTTTTAATAATTTGGTTAGCAAAGAACTACTATTGTTTCGATTGTTTATTTTTGTGTAACAAAAGAACCAGCTCTTTTCCATTCATTTCCTCTTGTATGTTATTAAGACAGTTCTGTTTCTGAAAAGTTTATACGGCTGTATTTTCATGTTTTTACAGCTACAAGATCTCAAATTTATTTGTACATGGTTACAAGTGCATAAAAATAATTTCTTTTATATGTTGATCTGTTGTTCAACAAAATTGTTTTATGATTTATCTGTAGATTCTTTTGGTTGTTTAGTAAGAACAGTAATACCTCTAAAAATGGGAATACAGTATTGTCTTTTCACAGTCATCTTATATCTTATCCTTCCTTAATTTGGATTGGATATGACCTTTTTTTTAAATAATATAGCTGATGGAGCATTCCCATCTTATGTCTTGTGTAGACAGTTCTAAATTTTATTATCAATTATGATTTTTGTTGTACATGCTTGGTAGATCATTTTTATCCCATTGAAGAAATTTACTTTCAGTCATTCTGATAATGAAAAACCTGTCCGTTTCTGGGCTTTTGTTGGTTTTTATTTGCAAGGAGTTGGCTAAGTAACTACAAAGGCTATCAAATTACTGAAAATGTTGAATTTAGTAACTGAATTCAGTTAATTTTATAATTGTAATTCTTTGTGTGTGCATATAATACATACATAGAACTTTTGGGCCATTGCGATACATATAGAAAGTTAGTAGGCAGACACATGAGACCAGCATTGTGACTACCGGGATTTGAGACTGGAACGTCCTTGTGAGGACTTGAGAAGGGTGGAAGGAGGTGTCTTCAGGGTAACATTAATGTTTTAAATGTTAAATTTTAAGCATTTATTGTCTGTATGCATGACTTTTGGAATATCATTTTTTATCAACTCATATGGTGATTGGCACTTATAGAACTTCTAATGACTAAGTCTCTTTGCATATCTGCTCTTCTACATTATTTTATAAGGTTATAATCCCCCCCTGAGTTGTATTTGGTTTTTCTTTTTTGGAGGGGTGGTTTTGGTTCATGTGGGAAGGTGTTGGATTGTATGCACACCATTTGAACATTAAAATGTCCAATATTTTAAAATTTGCCTCGTATTTTCATAGTACAATAAATTATTACTAATAAAGCTAAAATCAGAAGGGTGTGATTTTTTTTCTTTTAAGCAGTGGCAATTATCATTTTGACTTACCAAATGTAGACAATCAGATCCTCCTTTGAAGGCCCCAACCAAATGCCTAGTGCCAGCTCATTTAGTGTCATGCAAGTCTAAATCCTCTCTTCTTCCAGGAAAAACACCTGCTCTTTACATGAATTTGTATCATAGTTTTAATTCTTACGTCTCTAAATCGCAGTTTCATTAAGGATAACATGGACCTTCAGTGGGAGTTGTTTCAGTTGAAAGGCACCTTTTAAAAAAGGGAGGTGCACACTTATAATCCTAGCATGCAGGAGACTAAGGCACGTGGATCACTGCAAATTAACGGCCAGCATACAAAACTAGCCTGAGCTACATAGCAAGACCTTGTCTCAAAAAAAAACAAAACAAAACAAAAAAAAAAAACGGGAATTGCTTTTCTCAGGTTAAATGAGTAGCATTTTTTATTAGATATAAGGAGGGCTGCAAACTAAGCCCTAAATCAAATTTTTCTTCATTAAAACATTGTTTGGCCAAAGCTATTGAGAGAAATTTGGCAAACAATAACAAACTAACTGCAGAGGGAGAGAGAGAGAGAAAGACTACATCTTACTATGTGGCTCAGCCAGATTTCGAATTGACTTTGTAAATTCCTCCTGCCTCAACCTCCTGAGTGCTAGGATTATAAGCATGCACCACCACACCCAGCTGCATTTCTTAAATAAATTTTCCATCTTTGTCTTGCCCTTTATTGAGCTCTCCATCTGTCTCTTATCCTTCTAATATCTCTTTTTTGGTACCTCCATTAGCTCTTCCTTTCAATTTTCCTTATCTAAACCCCTATCTTTTCCCAGCTACTCACTTAAAAACCTAAAATGCCAATCACATTTAGAGATCTGACCGAAGCATGTAAATGATTTCTACTACATTCAGAGAGTAAGAAAGCCTGTAAAATCATTCTTAAAAGTATTCTATTTACTTACCCCCAGCCTCAGTAAAAAAAAAACTAAAGTTTTAAAAGATAAATCACAGCTTTTCCTCAAATCAGTTTATTGTTAGAGCATGACTTACCTGGGAAGGGAAAAGCATTTGTGTCCTGATAGATTAAAGACTGCCCTAAAGTGTTAGACCTTTCACAAATAATAAGTGAGAGAATTTCTGGGGTTTGACTGAGTATCTCAGACAATGAGTACCAATTATTTCAGAGACTGAAATACCTTCATATGAGTCAACAATTATGGTTTGTGTCTAGATGTCCTGCCAACATGTTTTGAGAGTTTTCTTTGGAGGTAGCTGAATCTAGAATGTGTAATGCTGGGACTAAGGGTGGGTCAGTCCACTAATTGGATTAGCATCACCCTAATCCCAGTAGTCTAGATAAAATAAAAGAAAGAGGCTTATGCTCCCCCTTTTGGAATGGAATATCAGTCATTGAAGGAAATGTGCTACGGGCTGCACCCTAGGCGCCTTTGATATAGGAGATAGGGCATGGCAAAGATGGCTGAGGGAATAAAGATGGGACCTGTCACTTGCAAGATCCCAAGGCGATGCCAAACAGTTCCCAGGACCAAGTATGTAGAACTTCTCCAGGTTTTCAGGTGATGTGGATGACATATCAGGAAACAGATTCCATGACTGGCCCATTATTGTGATCCCTGAAGGTAGCCCAATCTGTGTCTTCCAGGCACCGCTTATACTATTTTTTAAAATTTTTTATTTTAAAGAGATTAAGATAATGTACTTTTATTTTTTTCTCTCTTTTTCTTTCTTATTTAGCCAAGTTTGCTCTGCAGAGCCAATTTTTCTGTTACTCCTTTACCCCTCACTTTTCAAATAAACTTTTGGCACTAAGTTTGGCTTGTCTCATCCAATTCTTTATTCAAGGTAGGACCTAGAATAAATTTAATTGGAGAGCCATTTCTAAAAGAACCACTCAGTAACAGCTTGGAACTTCTACGTCACGAGCTGGTTTTTGACACAGTACTTATGATGTGTTAGGCCCCATGCAGATTACTTTATCACAACTTCTAAAACTGGTAACAGTGCTGTAAGTGGGGTAGCACTATTTTCCCGATTCTACAGACTTACCACATGGCACTAAAGGCCACCCAGCCAGACAAACACTGCTGCAGCTTAAACCACCTTCGACTCTGCACAGGGCATGCAGAAGTCATATGGAAATGGAAGGGACTCTTAACTGACAGAAATGGATATGGGATGGTTATTAATTTGTGAAAATCCACAGAACTTAATGTACACTCTGAACTTCAGTTAATAATAATGTACCTATATTGATCTATTAATTATTAATTGTATTGATCTATTATTAATCTAATTAATTATTGATCTATTAATTATAAAATGTGTGTTATAATACAGCCTGATGTTAGTGGCAGAAGCTGTACAGTGGAGAGCTAGGGAACTCTGCAAGCTGCTCGATTTCTTGTAAACCTGAAAGTGTCCTTAAAATCAACTATTAATTTTTTAACTGTAAGGAAGAGAGCTGGAGATGTCAGTGGTAGAACACTTGGATTGCATGTGTCGTGTTCTGGTTTGAGGCTCAGCACAAGCAAGGGAGTGGATAAAGAAATAAAAGTGATTTAGAGAAGTTAGCTTTAGAAGTAAAAATTTTAATGTGCTTACATTAAAAATCAAGCAGAGCTCCAATGAAATCCAATATCTTACAAAATTAATTTGGCACTAATAAGTAGATATATATATGGAAAATTAGGTTAATATCCTCACAGCACAAAAGACAGAGAGATTTCCTGACACACAGTAAATGAAAACAGAAAACTGTTCAAGGAGCCAGGCATGGTGTCACACCTGTCATCCCAACACTTGGGAGGCTGAAGTAGGTGGATTGCTGTGAATTCAAGGCCAGCCTAGGCTACAAAGTGAGTTAAAGGTCAGCGTGAACTCCACAGTGAGACCTCATTTCAAAAATAATAATAATAATTTTTTAAAAATGAAAACTGTTCAAGGCAAATCCTGTACATCACTAAAAGGAAACTAGTAACCAATTATCCAACCTGAGTCCTCTATTACAACTTTGAAAAAATGTGAATAGAAAGATTGCTTACTGTAACCTCACCTTTGACCCTGTCGGAAAGGATTATCCTCTTATTTTAGGGCAATAGCTTTCCTGGAAGCTATAAAACTTATTTGATCTGCTGAATTAGTTCTAACCTCCGCACTTGACTTAACATAACACAAAACACTTTTCCAACAGCTGACTAGCATTTTATGAGATG